ATCAATAGATGTGTGTGCGCATTTGTTTTTTTAGGCGATAAAATAAATATTGCCTCTAATTCATATAATATTGATATCGAACGATGCGAGTCTTATAACAATGATGACTTTTACTGATCTTATTGTATGCCCCAACTCACTTCAGACCGCAACGGGGCGGAATATTTATGCAAACATCAACACAAAAATTTTTCCCAAACAATTTATGACTTCAACGCACCCCGAATCGAAATTGATTAAAATCGGCCCGATTTGTCCACGAAAAAAAGCGGACGGAGTGCGCAAGAGGGGACGAACGAAAATAGAAAGGAATGTCAACTTAACACTGTCAAGCAAGCATACAAATGAAAACTACACACATGAATAGAAAATACATATAAATGGAATCGAAAATGAATGTGGCAACGGAAGCAAAAGAAAATTGAAAACTAATAATCGATGGCCGCTATTACAGTAGATTTGCCTATGGTTGAAACTTGGTCGCACGTTCCTTTTTCTCAATCTTTCTTGCTCGCTGTGGTAAAATTATTGTTATGATAATACAAAACAGTCGAACGACATGTTTTGCGCACATTCTTGGTAATTTAAAGGATTGATTACAATATCCACTCAACTAAGAGTCATCATTCTTCCTCCCTCTCAATAAAAAGGGGAGACAAGTTGTCATTTCTTGCAACGCAAGCATGAATGAAAAACCAGCCTAATGATATCAAAATTTAGTTGTAAATAAAAAAGGGGAGCAAATCACATAAGCCTGATTGATACATCATAAAAATATGAACCATAAACTTCAAAATAATTCGCATGTTATGCACGTTTCCGCTGAATGCTCGTGGTAAAATGGTGGCGATTAAGTCGCGTGATTGCTTCAACAATCTTTTGACTATTAAAATTACCATAATTTCAAGAGGAATTCGATTGTCGGCACTTATTGACCGGATAATGTTCGATACGGTATTATGTAAAGTCAATGATAATGCTTCTTATCTCGCGAAACAAATGACAAAAGTAGAAGCATAAATCATCGTGGAATTTGCGCAAAATATTTGTGCCTTTTTGTCGTATGAACCCACATTCTACTCCTGCTGCCGCTGCTACTGTTGCCGTTGTTGTCGTCGCCGCCGTCGATGACCAGAGTTGAGAGCGTGCTCACGCGTTATACCCACCGCTCAACGCGAGTTGTCGTCTCTCTGTTTTTCTTGTTTTAATTTGCTTTGTTTTCGACTGATGATCCACAGAAGCTGGGTATTGTTGTCCATACCCATGAAAAAGTGAACCAAATACGAAACATCGCAACGCATCGATAGCTTATGAAAATGATAGCATTTACGTTGCATGTGGATGAAAATCACGACAAATGCTACTACGCTTTCTCTCTCGTTTGTGCTATAAACCATGACCATATAAACAATTTAATGGTGATTTAAGCCAAATTTAATAATGAAAATATGTGATTGTTCTTTTTCCTCTTTATCTTTTCATTTCTTTTTCCATCGTTATTGTTGTTGCTTTGTCTTTTTCCACTACCATCCATTCATTGTCGATGCTTAATTTGTCTATTTGAGTGTGGTTGCTATACGCTATCCACACAAATCAACCGTTCCATACTCATACCCGCCGGAATTGAATTGAATTGAATTGAATTGAAGAGCATAAATAGACGGAAACCAAGCAGAGAGAGAGGAAAATGTGAACGGGTTTTCTATCTTTGTACGTCCCTTACTGAATCAAATGGGAAATCAATATTTGATTCGATTTTATATAGTTCGGGCATAGGAGAAGGAAAAAAGACAAACAAATTCAATCACATTCACTTACAATGCTGTGAGATGCCGTTCTTTCGTACATATTTGCGAAGCGACGCTAGCACAGATATATATATATATATATATATATATAGTGTCTCCTGTTGTGAATTGATCATCTTTTTAAGCCCATCGTTGCCGCTTTTTTGATTGTTTGTGGCCATTGTGTAAGAAAATATGTGCTTTTGCTCAGTCTCTTTGTCTATGACCAATTCTTTTTTGAGCTCCATCACTTTTATGTTTCTATTTTGGTCGTCGCACGTTTCGTGCACTCTATCGTATCTCATTCATTTAGATCCGTTCTAATATTCATCATTTTTTCGTTGTCCATAACGAACCCAAACTATTCTATGACATTCGATATTTGCTCGTTTTTTCTGTCTCATCGGCTAGAAATAATCATACTTCCTAATGTTCGATGCAACTACATTTATTGTTTCTTCATTTCGGTTCACTCACACACACACACACACACACACACACACACACACACACACACATAAAGAAAAACCAACGAGATAGATTGTGCGAGAGTGCTGTGCGCAACTGCTGTCAACGACGAGTTCAGACGGACGAAGCGAATGATGTTCTATTTGAACACTTGCTTATGAACGATGTGAAAAATACACAATTCATAAAGATCATGCCCGCATGTTATACCCAGGGCCATCCATATACTTTCATCGCTTGATTGTGAAAGTGAAATGCTTTTATCTTTCATCACCTTAATTTTGCTCCAAAGAAAACAAAGTTTATACGGCAACTGTACTCTCATTGTCCAGAACCGGTATTGGAAAATTGAATTCCAGCTTTAAATTGGCTTTCCGCTTGAGTCAGCTAGGAGCTCACTGTAGTGAGAGCACACATTCCACTCAACGGCGTCGCTCGTTATTCCATAATAATTTTCAGCTTGGGAATCTTACGATTTAATAAATATGGAGGCAACGAGCGCACACTGGCTGCAGAGTGAATAGCAGTACTCGGGCAGAAAATTAATTATAATCGAAGTGATTTTTGTATTAAATATGTGCGTCATTCGGTGCCATTCAACAACATTTTTACATTATTTTCTTCCGTACATTGGACATGGAGTATAATAATTCAATTTTCGAGTGTCACATGAAGTAAAATCCATTGCCTGATGTTGAGATTGAATTTTTTTCGCCTACTTGATTCCTTGCATGGGGCCGAACACTTCGGTTCACTATGAACGCGCTTACGAGCTTATAATAGGATAAATACTAACGCAATATGTGCGGATCCATGAATGATTGCACTCATTGCATTTTGTACATAGATCCACACAAACACACTTAAGCCATGAAAAGATTGCAGAGCATTTGAACACACTCGCAAGCCGGAATATTGTTGCTATTTTCTGTTGTGATACTTTTGCTGCTGATTTCGTCGATTTCCTCTGTCTGGTTACTCGTTTTATGTAGTTTTGGTACAATTTTCAATCGATAGAACGCACACATACACATTCTGGTGCACATGTGATGCATAAAGTCCATGCATATGGAACAAATAATGTCACTTATTTATGTCTGCTTCAATTTGATCTCATGCATTCTATTCTCCGAAAACAGATGTACCGAGTGAAAATCTCACTCAAGTTATTGGAGCGAAAGTGAACAAGGAGAAGAAAACGAAGAAGACAAAGAACTAGAGTTCAGTAGACGTAGAATAGTCAGTAGAATAATGGAAATGTAATTTCTTGAATGAACGAAGAAAAAAAAATGGGTCTACTGAGAGCATCCAATCAAAGCGAACTGGGTAACAAAGTCTTATTTCTGACGTGATTTATGCACATTATCCACATTTAATACGGCTAATTACACTTGGTGAACGAGAAATTCGAAATGAGTGAAGTTGGAAATGTCAGTCAACACTTAAATGAAACACGATTTAAACGATTTCCTATAAATGTAAAACCAAAACGAATCCTCCGTTGAGGGACCTCATTTAACATGTTGAAATTCTCTCGAGTGCACGAATGTTTTTCTCTCTCGCTTACATCACTCGAATTGAAAGAATGTTGATGTATTTTTTTTTCTCTCATCACATTCCTATTTAGTTGCAGCAATTTAGATGGTCGTTTTATATTCGATAGCCGTTTGGTGGGTTCTCGTCATTAGAAGTGTACTTTTAATGTGTCTATCGCGTGAAATGAATTGCTACGTATTGTACGAGCAAAAATATTTCAATCAAGGTACCATTTTGACAGACAATCCGCACAGTTTGCATCATTTGTGCTCGCATTAAGACACTTGCTAGCACATTTGAAGAAGAAAAAAATCAGCGGAGCCATGATTGATCTTGCTGTACACGAATTTGTGAAATTTTTTTGCGTGGGAAGAGTGAGAGAGCGTGAGATGTCTCGGTGCATGCCATCATTACGGTGGAGGTTATTAAGTACAAAATACTCACAAAGAATATTCCTTATTTTGAACTTGATTGAACCTACTATGAAACAATGCGAAAAGTTCCTTGACAAAGCTCTGTGTTTTTCCAAGGAATTCCGAAGTTCCACCTAATGATATAAATTTATGCTGAAGTATTCAGTTTGCCAGTTCACGATGAAAATTCAAATTGACACAACGAAAATTTCACGTTTTTACGTATGCTCTTAAAAGTGTGTTCTCTTGACAGCACCGAAATTGAGATGATGCATAACGGTCGACGTTTTATTGAGTTGTTCAACACGTTGCATTTGGGACTGATAAACAAGCAATGCTTGTCAAGCATGCTTATGCAAACTGTTTCATCGCCTCTGCTGCTGCTGTTGGTGGTGCAGCAAGCAAACCATATTTTCAGACCGATATTAATCGTGAAATTGTGAGTCTCACTTATTCCCAGGCATTTTCCATAGCTTAATAAATTATATAGAGACGGGTGTGTACTATATGTCTGACAACTTTATAACGTATTAACTGCATGCATCAAGATTTATGTTGGGGCAAGTTTCCAGGCTGTATGTTTACCCCCTCTCTCTTTCTCTCTTTCCATGTATTTCTTCATTTTTCTTAATTTTGTTGATAAATTTTATGTTCATTTCGCTTGAATGTGCCATTCATAATCGACCACAAAAGCTATGTTTGTTTTGTAAGAAATTAAAATTAAAATTACTACGATGAATCATATGAAATATCAATTAAGCTAGCGATTAACACTTTGTTGTTGTTGTCTTCACAGGGAATGAACGAAATTGCGACGAGTGCTGCAGAGCGCAATAAAAACAAAGAATGGTAAGCTAAAATTAACTAATCGATAGAGTAAAGATTATTCATTGTCAAATGCAATCACAAATGACTCTGAGTTTCTCTCGCTGGTTTTTTTGGTTCTCAGAGCAAGAAAGTGAAATATCACTCAGTGTTCGGTATGTGTGCGTGTGTGTGTGTGCACACGAATTCATTCTGTCTGTGTGTGATTGTTTTATTTGAATTAAAAATTACAAAATTCAAATATGACAAGCAAATTCACTGTCAAAGCTATAAATAACGACAGGAATTCGCTTTGTAATTTTTTTTGGCGAAATTTGATCATTTGTCGGTTGATGCTTGCAATTGGCACCAATAAAACCATCATTTATCTTAATTGAAATCAAAACTAGCGTAACAAAAACATATAAACAGGCGCAGTTCACGTCAACAGTACAGAAAAAAAAACGAAAATATACCGAAAAAAAGCGACAGAAGAAAATATGAACGTTGGCTTACAAGATTTCAAGACTAATTAGATAATAACGTGGTGTGTGAGTGTTTATGTTTATCTTTGTGTGCATGTAGCGTACAATATTTATTCTGTTGTGTAGCAAACAGTGTTCGCTCATTAGCATGAGGTTGCCGATCATAATTTATACGTCACATTGGCATTGACTTGCAAATAAGTCGCGCACTTCTTCGCGGATGATGTGTGCGTACTCGTTTGTTCGTCGTCCGTTTAATCACATACCACAATGCAGTGCAAAGCTCGTCAAGCGCTGCGCTGCCATTATTGTGTGTCATAAGTACGCGAGTAATGATGGCTCCTTATGCTCACATCTCTTTCTTTGTTATGTTGCTTCAAATATTATGCATAATCATTTCGCTGATATTTCTCCATTAATTTTTATTACTTACTATTCATACAGAGCTTAACCATTTATATTTTTTTCGACTTTATTGTTATCTGCTCATTTCACTCTGTTGTGTGCGCATATGAAATATTCGTGTAATGTTGATGAGTTCTGATTGTTTATGTGTTGCAAGGACAACAATTTCGATTCGACCCGCAAAATAAAAAGAAAACAGAAGAGAAGATGATCTATTGCTTTTGCTATGTGTGCGCCGCGCCGTGTTCGTTTCATTTTCGGCGGCTTTTGCAGCAAACAAGCAGAAAAACATAAACAGAGAAAAATTTATTTTATCGCTATTTCAAGCTTCCCCCCAGATTTACCAGCAAACGATTTTAACGTACTTTCTAAAAATTTGTATGGTAATGTGTCCATATTATAAGCTCAGTGAAACGACTAAAATGGCCTGTAATGCGATACACGAATTGTGCTTTGCTTTGTTAATTTGTTTGCATTTCTTTTTATGGATGATGGTTGGAGCGTACGTTGTAGTCATCGTTTGACGACGGTGGCAACCAACGTTGAAAGCATTTTACTGAACGTATTCTTTGTTCGTTGGCGTTTCTGTAATTTCACTTTGCAAAACTCAAAGTGCCCGTAATTACATCACTAAATTACGATGACTGTTCGTTCATTTTCACTTTCCATTTTCGACATTCGTCTTACTCACACCTTTAGAACCATGTCTCTCTAGCTCCCTTTCATTTCTTTTTTCTGCCTTTACATATATCTTTTTCCATCCATTCGTTCACTTTCACAGCCGTTTCAAAAGCGGCAAACGTAATAGGAACTCTTTCTATTTGCGTTTTGTTTCTCGTTGTAAGCATCGTTTTAGTCGTCTGTTTCTTTCATCGGTTTTGCCAGCAATTTGTTAGACATGTTTATCAGGACAACATGCCACAAAAAAATTTCCGGAGTTAATTTTTTTTTATTCGCTTTGATGTTAATGTTCGGAATATAGAGGAAAATAATGTAAGAGTAGCTACTGAAATGCAACGAAAAGAGAAAAAGGCAAAGGCAATAAAAAAACCCGTGTAGAAACCACACGGGCCGAGCTGAGTGTTGAAAGCACACCACAACAGATAGGGCATTGGTGCATACACATGCTCGAAAATGCTTGCATTCGGTGCAGAGAGCTTAAGTATTAAAGAAAATCATCAAGAATATACTTTGAGCTCGAGCGAGAGAGTGTGTGGCATACACGAGCATGTTGCATATTTTGCACTCAATCCAGGCCTCCAAACACGGCATGTTCACGTATTATATGGATTGAGCGCGCGTGCATATATTTACTGTATATTCAACGGGAGCATTTATTGCGTGTTAAGAGTTAGTAAATCGTATCTCAGCAAAATTTGATATGTCTGCATATCTGTATGCATGCCACAGTCACATGCAGCCCACTGTAATTGCATCAAAGTAGTTCGTTTTATTGAGTAATTATTTATTGAAATGGACTTTTTCTTATCTCTCGTTTTTGGCTTTGGCTTCTTCTTTCCTTCCCCGCACGCTATCTCCCTCCCACATTCTATCTCGAATACGGATTCCGAACAGTTCGAGCCGAAGCAGGCTAACCTAACATTAGCTCGCATATGGATGGCCAGAAGTTGGCATTATACGTACATTGTACATGCGTCAAGTATATATGAATACCAAGCTGATGTAATCTGTTTTGCTTTTTCAATTTCGGAACATTTTCCAGCAAATAAAAAAAAGCCACACACAACTAGGAAGATATTGGAAGCACGAACATTTCGCATCTAAAATAATTTCTGATGATGATGATGATTCCATGCGAGAAATCCACTTTTTCCGATGCAATTTAATTCACGGTACAGCTGCACGTAAGCAAAATTATCGCAATTTTACTATCAGAGCAAACAAATCAAAGGCAAACATGAGACGTTCCGATTTATGTCATTTGATTCTGCATTGCCGATATTATGTATATGTTTATGTATATATATTATGATCGCAGCACATCACAACAAAAAAAAAGAAAAACCATACACTCGCACACAATAATATATAGGCATAGATATAAAATAACGGAAGATAACGCCAAGCAATGAACTAAAATTAAATTTGCACGTATTTTATTATCGAATGTGAATCAGATGTCGCAAAGCATGCAAAGCGTGCCATTCCATTCGAATCGCAACAACGGAGAACGTAGTCAGCCGTACGATGCACATTTTGCTCCATTGACCATAGAATATTGAATACAGTGTAGAAAAAAAAAAGAAACATGCTAAATAGCCTCGTTTTATGGATATGAATACTGAGCAGCCTATAAAATCGGCATGCAAAATGGTGTGCATGTGTACAAACACGAACGAAGTTTACCTGATGTTTTTATCGTCGTCATCGTTGACATCATCATCGCTGTTTACAATGAAAAATCGATTAACAGGATATTATAATGGAAAAGCAGTTTTGTTCCCGGAAATCGATTTATCGCTCTTTTTCTCTACCTCTCTCGCAACTGCCATTTTTTATTTATCTCTTTCGTTTGTTTGATTTTGTTGTTGCTGGTGGTTTTTTTCTTCTTCTCTCTGCTCCTCTGATAGTGCCCAGATCGCACGCGCCGTTACTATAATTTATATTCAAATTCATTGAATTTGTGCTCTGGCATTTCATTTGTCGGTCATAGTCAAGTCTACTTACTAGCCAGTCAGTCAACCACCAGCTGGGCATTGAACATTAAGGCACTGAGTTATAAGCACAATCATTTTAACGATCTCAACTCGAGTTCATCGAGATTGGAATGCAAGCAAGTTTGCTATTTTTTTTCCCGCTAATGGCCTAAACGGAATTGGATTCCGAATGCCTTTGAGATAAGGGGCATTTTATGCTTGAAAAATTATCTTTTACCGGACATGCGTTCGTATGGAGTCACCGGAGAATCGTCTCTCCGAAATTACGTTCAACGAGAATATTCAAATTCTTGTTGGAAATGCGAGCCAATCTGCAGTCAGTCGAAAGAGAAAGAGAGAGACAGAGAGAAAGAGGGAGAGTGATAAAAAATATCATTCACTTTTCGAGGATGGAAAAAATGTTATCGTCGGCGGTGAATATTCAACGCAATGAACAAACGGAATGAAAATTGAAATTGCGAAAAGAATTAGCGGGCGACACAGGGTTAATATAACCGTGTTTATGGTTTTTAATTAATTAATATTTTCAGAACATTCTCATTACGTCGAAATGAGAGCGATTTATGGGCAACGGAACGGGAAATCACATCGTCAAGATTGTTGTCGAGGAATTTAAGGATGTTTTTTTAAAAAGAATGGCAGTTTTCTGTTCCTCACACTCTCACTGATAACAAACCGGGTTTTTTTGTGCTTTTTTTTAGGTGAGAATCATTAAACATTTCGCATTTTACGGTGTACATTTTTTTCCGTATACTTAAAATTATGAAGCGCTCGCTCAACAGCAAAATAAATAGAAGAATCTCCTTGTGACGAATTATGTGTCTTATTTCAAAAGACTATTTTTTGCGCTCACAAGCTCTTGCCAGCTTTCATTTGAAAACGTTGCCTTTCCCTCTATCTTTTCCATTTTGTTATTGTCGTATTGTTATCCGTGTGTAATCCATTGCTTCGAGGATTGAATCTCTGCTTTGTGTGTGTGTATGAGAGAGATGAAGAGAAAAAGAAGAGAACGTTCTCCTTTTGGTTGTTGTTTTTGCCCTTTTTGCGCTTTGTTAATTAATCATTATGAGATAACTGAGACAAAGACAAAAACGTCGATAAAAAGATGAAAATTGGAAAGACGGAATGGATTGTGAGGGAAACGCAAATAATGACCAGAGATTAAAATGAAGGCGAATGAAACTGGTTTAGTGCTGTGTGTGTGTGTGTATCCGGGCGCATACATTTTTACGATGACGATATTTATCGGACGCGCGCGCTGTTGCTGCTGTTTAACATCCATGCGTCACATGTGTGTGACGCACACGCACACACAGTATCTCAGTATCTTTCATCGCAGTCTAACAAAAACGTGAACAATTCGTAAGCAGGGCTTGATGAATGGAAGCCAAAAGCAAAATCAACAGAAAATTCGTTTCAGACTTCTGATTATAAATTTATAAATTACAAATGATGTTCAACTTTCGTCATTTGTCTC